GGAAACAGAGTCACCAGTTGTATTAAGTAGCAGTGTATCTACAGAAAGCAATGTCATTCAGATACAACAACTTATGGCTAGCTTTTTTACATGTCCATCAAACGAACCTTTCCTGTCAAAGATGTAGAGAAATCTTGGCAGCAGTCAGAGGTCAGGCTGTTGAGACTCCATTCCTAACTGCCTGTTTCAGAGACATAATCTGAGGCAACAACAACGAGGCTGAAGTTGTTTTTCTTATTCGCCTGCTTCTTATTCAAATTTTTGGTTCCACCTTAAACGGGTAACCGGCTATATTCTGGCACCTGCACCATTTACAATGGAATGGGAAATTTAAATTACAAACTGGAGCATAAGAAGCTATCTTTAGCATCGTGCGATACTGTCTTTTTATTAAAAAATTATGATTTTTTTGGCTGGTGCAGTCCAAATACTTGCTCTGAATTCCTGGATAGCATGCTCTCCACTGCCCTAAAATGTCTTAAAAACTTGGTCGTATAAAATCTAAAACACTGACAAGAATTAACCAAAAAGCAGTTTTCAATTTTTAAGACAACATGATTAAAAAGACACTGCTCTCCTGCTCTACACCGAAACATTCAAATAGTCTTAGGAACTTGGTCAGAGTTGCAAGATTTTTTTCAACTAGCTTGTAGTATTTCACATTTAAATAAATAAATAAATAAATAAATAAATACCTATAAGAAATTTCATTTAATCATTGAGAGTGAAACATATCATAGATTTCCTTGTTTTTAAAGATTAAAAATATTCAAGGCATTTGATATTTGAAAACGAAAATATTTGATAGTTGCTGCACTACTGCAAAGGGGTCCTTACATGTCTTGATTGACATAATGTATCTCAGAGGTATGTGCTGATATTCTGTAATTCAGTATTCAGTATAGTGGATACTTTAAAATACTGTAATTTAGTCAAGTTCCACTTTCAGCAGAAATCGGCAGAGTAGCTCTCATCTCACAAGTTCCCGCTACACTGTCATGCTCTGATCACATGATACGCTCCCTCTTCTAAGCGAAGCTTGTAAACAACCACGACATGCAACACTGCAGCACGGCAGAAGGAAGAGCAGACAGAAAAGGAAAGAGAGGAAAAATGGTCAGTCTCAGGAAGACACGTATGTTTGCAGTTACAAACTGCATGTGTATAAAGTAAAAGGCACAAAAGGATCCTGAACTTCACCTTACTTAAGAACCTGGTCTTGTTTAACAAGCAGCTCAGCAGACTGCTAATACAGGCGTATTAGCAATATTCAGAGTTAGCAATGTCAGACTTGAGCCATGTAGACTCAACCCTGAGTGGAAAAAATACTCCACAATTGCTTTATACTAACATATAATGGAAAACTGCATGTTCTTCCTGGCACAAATTAGCATTCTTGTACAGGATGTGACAGTGGGTGCTTATAAAGGTTTCCACTTTAAGGACTGTTACACAGTGACTTGACTGCATGTACATGATGATTAAATGATACAGCACAGTATAGGCCATTTACTTGATAGTTCATTTTAGGTACTACTAACATCATGCATGCTGTATTTCGTTTGGGAGCAGCTTTACAGCTCTTGGTAAATGTCTCAGTGTTCAATCTCATAGTCCTAACCATTAATATTCCTGTATGATAATAATACATAATGAGCATCGTTATATGTAAAGTTTTTTTAAATTTTATTTTGATGCTTATTTTATTGTAAATATTGCACACATATACCACTGTTTAACACATATTAAACATGTATTTAAACACATATTTAAAACGTTTTAAATACGATATTGTGCTAATCGTAAGCCATGATAAAATGATTCATAATGGTAAAGTGAGCATCACAGTGAACACTCTCTCTATTAATTAAGGCGATTAATTAATACTAAGATGCTGCCTCAACTATTTCAGATAATCTTTGATAATTTTGGTAAATGGTTTCCACTAATTAATCTGAAGAGAACAGTACAACATATCAAAAGTTCAAAACATTTCAGTATAGCAATTTGGCAAAAAACTTACGTTTGTATAGACTAAAAAATAAAAAGTGAATTAAAAAAAAGAAAACAGACACTAATTAAGCTGTAAAAATGTTGTAAAAAAAAAAGAAAGAATGTTTCTGTTTCTTCTCCGCTTTAATTAAATTCAGATTTCTAATAACTTTCATTGTTATTGTAATTTTGGTATCTACAGCCTTCAGAGGAGGAAGGCTTCCCTCTTAGAGTCTTTGTTTCTCTCAGTGATTGTTCTTCATGCTGTTACTGAGTTTTGTGTCCAATGTTGCTCTTGCCTTTGGACTCAAATTTCTATAAAGCTGCTTTGTGAAAACATCCGTTGTAAAATGTGCTATGAATGATTTTAAAAATAATCGATTACAATTTACAGTTTTGATGAGCAGCTAACTAGACTGAATTACATGAATGCACATCTTAAATACGTTCACTGGTTTCCCTTAGTATAAGCTGATTTGTGCAGCAAACAGAACCTGAAATATGCAAAACTGATATACAGTTTTTTTGCCACACAGTGGCAAACTCATGGCTACGCATGGTTTGTTACTGTCCATTTTTAATTGTTTGGCTTTTTAAAAACTTTCATTACTTTAATTAATCATCAAAATAATTGGTAGACTACTTGATTACCAACATAATCGACAGTGGCAGCACTAAAGGTCACTCTTTATTTTGATGGTCTCTTGTACCTTATTCATAAACACTCAAATTAATAATAAGCTACCTGGTGAAACTGTCTTGTTCTTATATCAGCATAAAGAAAAAATAACTCCAAGTACTATGTATTTTTAGCTTTACATGTTAAATAAATTTGAATGCAAATTTGTAAGAGTGGCAGATTTGGTGTTAATTTCAGTCACATATTGGTATGTGACACACTAGAAAAGCATATCACTCTGTTCATGTCAACCACATGACCATCAGTGGTGTGACACACTTGATTCACCCTTAGATGTTGAAGATCTTGCTGACGAGAAAACAAACAAACAAAAAAAAAATACATGGTATAATTAAATACTAATTATTTCTCACTCAGAGGTCAGAAACAAGCAGAGGAAGTTTGGTATGTTTTAGAAATTGACATTGAATCAAATAGAAAAAAGCTGTCAACACAGATGGCAAACCGAATGTAACTAATTTATTAAGTAGATAACTATGCAATTTATTATATAAGTACATAATAGTATTTCAATAGGAGACCTTTAGCACAAACTACTACGACACCTGTAGACTTATAATCACAACTAATTTTGTAAGGATGGCAGGTTTGGTCTCAGCAGAGATACTGTAAAGGAGGAGGGGACAGTTCATTGGTTGAAAATTGAACTTGTAATGATTAACATGGTGTCTGTTTACATGCAAAGTTCTGGCCTTCAATAAAAACAGCAAATCGGCTTGCTGGTAAAGCCTCAAGCGGGAGAGCCCTCCCTCATTGTGGAGATATATGCATGTGCAGCAGCATGAACAAGCTGAAGAGCACATCCGAGCCAAACATTTCAAACTATTTTTGGTTGATTTTTGTCAGGTTTTACCCCTGATTTCAATGCTTTCAGTCTCGTTTACAGGTCTCTCCTCATTCAAAGACATAGGACCTGGTCCTGTACGTGTGGGAGGAACTGTCTGTGAGCATTGCCAAGATGGCCGCTTAGCGGACAGACTTTCCACTACATCTAGGACATTGGTCTCAGTTGTTATACGGTAGATTAGAATTAGTAGTGGCCATATATCGGTTAAAATTCTTCTTTGGGTATGAGCTTTATCATAACTGTTATATCGATATGCCACAAATACGTGCAGATAACGTGATGTATAAACAGCGTAGACCACACTAACGTTATCCTGCTTGTCAGTGATGTTTCAGTTACATTTCAATTGAAAATGAAAATGCTTGAGTCCCTCAATCACCTCCTGCCTAGTCCATCACAGAGATAGCCAGTTTTGGAGTTAGGCTTAGTCTAACATGGACATCAGAGTAGCTCCGTTTCCTCTCATAGCACCTAATGAGCTGTCTGATTCGGTCAGCTGCATCAGACAAGGTGGCGGGCTCTTGACCTTGTGCACAACAAGCAGTGGAGCAGCTGGTACCGATAGCATGAATAATGTAATATTTATGTAATATTCTCTAATTTCCAGCCATGTCTGATGGTCAGAGGAACGAGTGTATGGACACAGGTATGAGACAATTAACTTGAGAAATTCAATGAAGCTGAAGCTGGTTTCTTTTTTTGGATTTCCGGTTCCACCTTACATGGCGCAGCAGTAACATTCAGGTGCCTGTGCAGGTGCCAGAACGTGCTGCTTCATTTAAGGTGGAATGGGAAATTTATACAAAACACTGGCGAATAAGAAGTCAACTTCAGCCTTGTAGAAATAAAGATGTGAAACAACATTTAGCACTGTTTTTGCAGACCTGCAGGGTTAATGTTAGAAAGCAACATTGACACAGGTTTATCTATACAGCCGTATGCAAAAGTTCGGGAAAATAATATAACATCCTCTACAGAGAACGAACATCTGCACATTTTAATGCACAATTACTGTTTATTTGCTGAATTTAACATACTGGGGGAAAAAAAACAGAACATAAAGTGTGGCCTGTGCTGAAGTTAACAGCACATTTTATATTTTATGTTTTATTATTTTATGTCGAACTGAGTAAATAAACAGCAACTGTGCAGAGAAATTTTAAGTTTGCTCTCAGCAGTGGATGTGTTAACATATTTTCACTTAAAAAAAACAACAAAATATACAATTTGACCAGGGATATTCAAACTTTTGCATATGACTGTTTATTCTTCAGTTTTGTTTTTACTATTTTCAGATTTAATATAATTAAAAAGTGAATTATTATATTATATAATTATTAAGATATAAATTTTTGGCCATTTTCCCCATTACTAATAAAAATGGTATTCTGCTCTGTGCAGTTTAACCCCATGATCATCACACGTATGGTGAATATAGACAAAGGAAAGAGTTAAACTCACTGTTTCTCTCCTGGGATGTAAGGTCAGGAAGCCGTAGAATGTGTCGTCGTGGCAACAGCAAGGTCTGAAAAGGCCACGTGGCCCAATAAGGCACGACAACCAGCCAATGCTCGTTCTCCACTACTACACGCTCCTGTATGACACACATAGACACAGACGATGCAAATGCATTACCCAAAACAATAACTGACTACATACTCAAAAGGTATGTACAACTCATGCTTCAGTAGCATTTCATACATACTTCATTAGTTTGATGCCTACAGAGATATGCAGAATATCACTGGATATCAGTAATTTATATTTCTATATCATTTATGAGTGTGGTATAAGTAAGTGTCTTTTATGTTCTTGTCTTTTGAGCCAGACAGCACTTAAAAAGTAATGAACAAACATGAGTGAATGGTTTCTTAAAACTGCAAGGACATGCATTTACTTTTTCTCTGACTTCAGGCAATTTTTTTGAACTTCCTGATTTCTGATGTGCATAGCATCAAAAAACTTTGGCAGCTCCATAAATAAGAAGAATTTTGCTGCCAGGCACTTAAGTATCTGCCTCTTCTAGCAAAACAGACAAAACAATAGATTGCAGAACTTTTCTTTAAAAAAAAATCATACTGATACAAGAAACACTTTATTATTCACAGTCACTGAAACATTAATTAAAAAAGACGAGTTACATCAGTTGGTGAAAACTAACAAATACTGCTCCCTAAAACTTTCTAAATGTTAATAAATGAGTTTTTTGTCTGGCAAGAGTTTAACATTAAAGTCCAACCTGGTTCATCTTGAAGAGAACAATTTTGTTTAAATACAGCACTGTGCAGACTCCCCCTCATTTATTTAACTTCCAGTCAAAATGGTCATTAAGAGTAAGCTTTTCATTTTCCTTAAGATATTTTTGAGAAGATTAGATATAAAATGAGTCATTTGCACAAAAAAAAAAAGATAAACAAGTTATTCTTAACACAGCACTAAATATGTTTTGTCACAAAAGCCGTTATTGTCAAGGCATTGCAAATTCACACTGTATAGCAGAAACGGTCAAACGCCAGCGCTGCTCTCAAGCATAAACCAATAAATCCGTTCAGCAAATCAGCGTGTAGTATTCAGGTCAGGTGACGCAACACTGCCGTGAACTGGTTTAGGCAGAATCTCAAATGGCTTCGTTCACCCTAGGGCAGTACATAGGTCTTAAAATAATGGCTTCTGCATCTAAAAAGAGCACAGTATGTCAAACAACCACTGTGGATTCACAATTCTATACTTGACATAAAGTTCAATGTTTGGGTGTAAACGCCAAAATGTCATAACTCACATAGTGCACTGTGCAGGGAGCAGTAAGTCATCTGAGATTCAGCCTTAGGATTTTCCAAGGTGTGATCTTATTAGGGGTGCGGGAAAAAATTGATTCTTAGATGCATCGTGATGCGGACGTGAACGATTCTGAATCGATTCACAAATGTCAAAAATCGATTTTCTAAATATTTAATTTATAACGTAATGTTGACGGAACGCAAAAGGCGGAACTTGGAAGTGGGTAAGTGCAGCACCCGGACAGTCTGTGGCGGCACATAACAAAAAAACAACTGGATGAGTGAGAAATCCGACCGGCACCCTCTGCATTAAAGCCAGGTTAGATCAGGAGTCACAACACAAATGATAAGAAGAGCCATTATGTCCTTTCAACAAAAATCAAACCACCTTGGGAGCCACAACATTTAATGTCCAGTATGTCTCAGTATGGGATAATGTCCTAGTATAGGCTAAACAATATAAACGAAAACGCAGATTTACTTCGCTCTGCTTTAAGCTTTAACTACAGCCGCTTTCCTCCCATCTCCGCCAGAAAACTTTTCCTCAGAAGTTGATCAGTTAAATGTCTCTCAACGTTCGACTGTTTTACGAGGCTGAAGTCGCTTCTTATACTCCAGCTTCTTGTTCGAATTTACCCGTTCCACCTTAAATTCTAACTGAGGCGCCGAATGAAAATGCAGCACCATTTAAGGTGGAATACACCATAAAAAAACTGATTTACGAAAAGTCATTAACATGGAGATATCTGGTTTTTATCTGGCGAACTCTTCAAACAGTCCACTTACACAATACATTGTGTAGCCAAAAGAAAATACAGAATTTTGGAAACTGGAGTTCAAAAAATGATCAAAAGATACAGAGAAAATGGGACACCTGGCAACCTGGTGTAGACCACAGAAACTGTCCCCATCAGATAAACAGCACTTAAAGCTTTCATCTTTGAGGAGAAAATCAAGCTCCACTCTTGCTTCCCATCTGAAAACAATCCACAGGTGTTTCTGTCCATCCTTCCACTGTGAGAAGACAACTCAACACTATGGGTCTGAAAGGATGCGTAGCTGTCAAGAAGCCGATATTGGAAAATCAAACAAAGCAGCTGCTTGTCTTCTTAGAACAATGGACTGACCTCCCCAGAGCCCAGGCCTCTCTGAATCTTTTATAATCTTTGCATGTTTTGGCATCACTTGGATTGTGAGGAGCAGAAAACAAAGTTCTAAGGCTGAACTTTGGAGGTGTGAAAAATATCCCTGTAGATTTCTTTAAGAAAAGTACGGAGCCCTGCTTGTGACATCCCGTATTAATAAAAATAAAGGGAACGAGATCCTGATGTGTGGCCACAACTTAGTAAGCCGTGGGAATGAGATAATTAAGATGTGGCCATGATTTAGTAAGGCATGGCAACAAGATCATGCCTTATTAAGCTGTGGTCAGGGCTTAATTATCTCATTCCCATGCCTTACTAAGTCATGGCCACAACTTAATTATCTAGTGCCCACGCCTTGTTAAGTCATGATCACGCATTATTTTCATTTATACAGGGTGTCACCCGCAGGGCTCCTTAGAAAAGAAAGCAAGTCTCCTGAAAAGAGTGGAAGCTGTAATAGAGGAAAAAGGTGGAACATTTTCTGTGAAATATATACTCTGCTTTTTACTTGATGCTGACAAATTAATAACTTAATTATTGACTATTTGAATGGAAATTAAATGAATGGGGGGTGATCTCTCAGATTTTCACACAGAACTATATTTTAACAAGCTAAATATCTCCAAACATTTAATAAATACACATTAACACTCAACTGGTATGTCACATAAACAACTGAGTACAAGCTATTCAGTCCTACCATTACAAGGTCTTCAATTCCAAGATGAGACACTCAACCAAACCCATACAACAGAAACATGAGTCTATAGACTTCTCACTGTCTAAGACTCTATTACAACTTAAACACCCAACTAAAGGAGGAGCTAATTATGCTTCATGAGGCACGGGACCACTTAAAGCACTCAACCTCATAAAACGAACTATAGTCTGATTAAAATGACCTGACTGAGACGTTACAGCTCGGCCCAGTTCCCACCGGCTCCAAAGAACAGGATTGGGGGTGCAGGTTTGGAACATGACAGCTGATGATGGATTACAAAACGGCTGAAGTTGACGTGTGGCTGCTACAGTGAGCCGGGGTCTGATGAGGAGGCGTTTGACAAAGTGCAGCTCTGTGTGGCAGTGAGTGATGGGAACTGATTAGTACCTCAGCTCACAATGATCTTCACACACACTGACTGCAGCGAGAACAAGAAAGAAAAAAAATACATAAACAACCAGAGCAAGGTACAGACAGAGGGAAAAAGAATTTAGGACAATTAGTCTGGGTTGGAAGAAGGGAGGACAGGAGAGACAGATGCTGCGGGAATTTGTTTTTCCAGAATGTGTCATTCCTTTTAACACGATTGGTTTGAGGCTTTTTAGCTGCGAGAAGCCATTTCTGCTCGACATGTTGCCTTATTCAAAATAGTTTCCATTCCACTAAATGCATGATGCAACACTGCTGGAGTATTGTTAAGCCCAAAGGTTTGACTACAAAGTCATAGAACCCAAACCCAGGTCTTTTTACCAAGCTTTTTTACCATGCTGTTCAAACTATGTTTAACAAATTCATCTTTCAGTGTGCTCTAAATGCATTCAGGTGATATAATGAATTGTGTACCTTTTAACACCTCAATCAATTTCTCTGCACCACTGCCATTGTGCAACGGTTCGAATTTCACATGTAATGCTCCATTCAAATTGTTCTCGTTTGGGTGCTGGGGCACTTTTTTTCCGCCCCAAATACTAAAGCGTTAGCATTACTAGCAACTGTATTTTGGTACAACAAGTTCCGCCAGCACCATGGCAACAATCTGAGAGCAATTTGCCTACACTGCCTTGCTTATTTAGATCCAGCCTCGCTGTTTATGTGTTAAGTGCCGGCGATAACATCATACCGCTTGCATCATAGCTTAGATCACGCTCCGGCATACATCTGCAGGAGCTCCTCCCGGAAGACGACTACAAACGTATCCGCTCTAAAGACAAGCACTGTATTTTTCCAACTGGATTCTGAGTCGCGAGCGCTGAGAACGTCCTGGAAAAGTGTCCTCATTTTCCTCCATGATGTGGCAATGAAGAGGGCGTGAGAATCCTAGGCCTGTAGACAGGGAAGAAGCATCATGCTGATGCGGTGAGCACAGATCAGAGGGAATCGCATGAGGAGAGTGATTAAAGTTTTAAAGGGAGCAGCTTCGTTACAAGACATGACTACACAACCGCGGGTTATTAAATCTGCAATTAGGCGCCATTTACAAGTGCATTATTTAACAATTTCTGGAGTAGGCACAATAGCAGTTGCCACGGAGATAGTACTTTTGGGGAGCGTCTTCGGCAACTTTAGGGAAATGGCGGCCCGCAATTACACCGCCGCTCTCTTTTATGTTCCCCCTGTTCTTCCGAAAGCTAGTCTTTATGTGTCATTAAGGAAGAGTCATTACTCTGCCTCAAAACATGCTTCCATCACTCCTTGATTTTCTATTCACTCCTCACACTGGCCCTTGGACACAGTAGGTGAGAGGTTTGATGAATAAGTTATTGGAGTTCGAGTTATTAAAGCTTTCAAAAGCATTACCCAAGGAATATGCAGGGCAGTAGCTCAATCCAAGACGGTCTGAAAAGATTACAAGCGTGCTCCGCAGCACAGTGATACAATTCTTCAGTAATAGTGCACGTTTGGGAAAGGCCATTACCAGTATGCCATCGTTTCAAAACAGTCATGTTTTCGT